ATTGTATAAAAAAAGTGGAAAACCATTTTCCTACCAAACTGGTGGGAAAACCAATTCAATGAAAAATAAGAAAATGGGGTCAAGTGGGGCTTTGGGTGGAAAACAATTTGCCAAGAAAATTTTGCTTATCAAACAAGCAAAAATGTGGAAAATAGAAAACCAATTCTTAGTTCCATGAAAAAGAAATACTATCAAACAGTACCTTATATATTTATTTGTTATTTCTTTCATATATTGTTTAATCTAATATACTAAAATTGTTACTGACAATTTCATGTCAACATATGTATATAATTTACGACCCTCTCCAAAAAGTGAAAGATAATGAAGAAAAAATAAAATGTGCTCTTTTTTTTTGTCTGGACATGATTTTGGCATGCAATATGGGAGCGGGATGGACAAGGATGAGCCATCAATAATCAATTTAACGTGCCAACTTGTAAAAATGAAACGAAATATATACACACGTTGCATAGAACTTATAACCATATCCTTTATAACCAGTTAAATCTTTTTGTCAAAATAAAATGTTTCCTTTTAATTTATATTAATATCATTTAGGGAATATACTACTTGTACATAATGTTGCGTTCATGACGGTGTTCACCTCCTCACATGGAGGGGGCTCCACTTCGAATATATTATATTTTATTCGAGTGGATCCCTCTCCATGTGAGGGGGTGGACACCGTTATGAACACTGCATTATGTACGTGTAGTATCCTTTAATAAATAGACTAAAAACTTTGCATTGTTTGACAAGAATGCCTAGATACATTGAAATTAACGCAAAAATGAAGAGAGAGAGTACTTAAATGGATTAGAAGTTCTCGTCAACATTGCTAATTGGACGAAAATACCATAATATTTTGAAATGGTGCAAAAAGGAAGAGAGAATTAATTTTTAAATTGACTAGAAATACTCGTCAACTTTATCTAATTTGACACGAACGCCTAGGTCATTCAAAATTTGAGTAAAAGGAAGACCGAGTATTGGAGAATGTTTTTGAAGACAAAAATTAATAATTGCCACGAAAAAAAACATTATTAAGAAATTCAAAAACAGTAAACACAATTTATTTTCTTCCTTTAATCATGTCATATATAAGGAAATTTCCTTTTTTAAAACTCTGTGCTACTCCATATCGACCGTGACAGCAATATTCAACTCGCCAAGTTGCTAAAAGAAATGCAGCTTTGGTCTTTTGCTTTTGTCACTAAAGAGGCACTTTCCTATTATGGGCAGCATAGAACATTCAAAAGTAGGTCATTTCCAAATTCCAATTTTCACATTCTTATTCCTTCATAAGAATTTTTTTTTTTTCCCGACAGTTTTATCAAGAAATACATAAGATTCATGAATTTGAACTCAATTATTTTTTATGCTTCTGTACGGCAATTTGCAGCCAGAAAATGTGCACACGTGAAAGTTGGATTGTGGGAATTTCTGTGAAACTAATAGAGAAACGTATCGTAGCTTCATACCACGATAGTGTATTGAAGATTAAATTTAAATAAATAAGAATACGTATTCAAAATGACATTAATTTTAGATTTTTTTTTTAAAACTCTTTTAGTGCTGTATGTTGAGGCTATTTTAGCACCGTTAGAAACGTGATGGATGTCAAGAAAAATAGTTAAAAGAGCTACGTTTAATTACAATATGTTGTATGTGACATCGAAAGCAAACATTTAGAAAATAAGTTTAAATTCACTTTGTAGAAAAAATAACTTCTAAAAACAACCAAACGTTGCTCTGAAGCGTCCTCTCTAATAACGTAGCCTCCGTTCGGTAAATTTATAAATTGGTAAATTTCATTTTCAATCACACATTAAAATGGATCAACAAATATTATTTACTTATTTACCACTCATTTATATAAGTTATTCCCAATCAAATGCTTAAACTAACAGGGCATCAATAGCCAACGTAGTAGCATACTGAGGTGAGTCGTTACGTATACCCACTTCTGAAAATTTTGTACACATCAAACAATTAATAAGAAAATGAACGTGACACAACTAAATTAAATTTTAATATAAATACACATTTTCTTAATCGCTCAAACATTTATACGACGTAGTTTAACATTGTATCCAACACATGTTTTTCTATGAAAACAGCAGGATCCCCATTTAGACATAGTATTTTCGGACCTTGGATAAAATTGCACTAACCTAGATTTTCGTGTCGTGTTTGAATTATTATAATTATTTATTTATTCATTAACATGCAAAAGTACAGCTCGGATTGACAAAGCTTTAATTTGACTTCTTGCATGATTTTGGTTTCAAGGTAACATATTTTAAATTTTTATTGTTATGCGTACATTTAATCGATCACGCAGTTTCACGTGATGACCGGTTTGTTGTCTTTAAAAATGTTGACCTAGTTAGCACTTCATTTGCGACAATAATTTGTAGTTAATTTAACTTTCATTGGTCAAAAATAGCTTTTCAAATGCGCGTCGGACAGTCTCCCCGATGATAGTTTCATGTCGGGGTGAACGTGATTCGATTTGGACGGTTTGTGCCATATTTTCAACTCAAATAATTTTATGCGGTTTGGAATTTTTTAAACCATAATTTGGAGTTGGTTCGATTTTAATCTGCGGTTTACCCATCGACATTATAATAATATATTTAAAATAAGTTAACATATAAGTTTAAACGAGAAATAATAATTTAAATGTTAAATTACATTCATTTTTCCCATGAAACCCGTGAATAAATGATATGTTTAAATGTACAAAAAATGATAGAGTTCAAGGTTATTGAGAATTGACAAATTTCATTCTATAACAACTTTAAGAAAGTAGAAGGTACTAATATTAGTTTGGGAACTTTAACATTTTCACACAATCAATACGCTCTGTCCTTCGTTCTTTCAAATCCACAAATAAGTTCATTAATCATTTAGGCACACAAATAGTCTTTTTTTTTTTTAATCCAAACCACAACTCACAAGTTTATAATAAGTTAAAAAAAAAAAAAACAAATAAAAGAAAGAAAGAACAATGAAAAATTTGGCTTGAATGTGAATCTAAGACTTATCGAGAGAGAAGAGAGAAATATGTTATTCAGGTAAGAATTAGTAGACTAAGAGGCAAAATGGGGACTGACAATTTGCAATTGGTAATCGCATTTTGTTTAGCTGTAGTAGACAAACATCAAATGTTTGAGAAATGAGAGTTTATGTTAGGATTCTGAAGTTGTGGACGTGATTTGCTATCGTAGTTTTGTTGAATTAAGATTTGGATAGTTGAAAATAAATGCTTTTTGTTTTCATTTCATATGATTCGGGAATAATTTTAGTTTAGATTAGATATCGGGTCATCACGTGTGTTGTGGACTTATAAAATCATTGGTCAATGATGATGAATTTAATTTAGTTTATATGATTATTTCAATGGGTTGGTTCGATTTTGTGCGTTTTTTAAAATTGAAACATAAACCAAACTATTTTGAAAATGTTTAATTTGATTTAGGAAAAAAAAAATTGCTGGTACACGTGAATTCGAACCAACGGTTTTAAACTAACGGTTTCGATTCGGTTTGCGATTTCGTGATTTTTATGTGCAGCCCTAGTTTCATAGACAAAAATATTGGCAAAAAAAGACAAAAGTCTGGTCACTAGATATAGAGAAAACGTCCCGCCTAACGCTGCGCTTGAAAAAAAGACGTTAACTCTTCATTGACCACCTAAGGTGCACCTATTTAAAAAAAGAGAGCGCGAACCTTTTTATTTTACGAGTGATATTTTTTGTAGTGAAGTCAATCTTAACAAAAATAGCAACCGTTTCTAAAACTTATAAAGGAAATAAGGTCAACAAAACCTATGAACATAGCTCTCTTTTTTCCACTTACAAAGTATTATGATTTAGAGAATTATGCTTTTGTTGGAGACTTAAAAATATGTATGAAATTTCAATAATTTTCATCTTATGCATTATTTTATTTATTGATTGGTCTAAAATATTTTAAAATTAGAAAAACATCTTATTACGCCTAGATTCGTCAGATTTGATGTTTGACATTCACGCCTAATTATGCGTTTTAGAACATTGAGTACTGTTTAAAAACAATACTCGAATGATCCATTTGTTATATTTGGTCATAAATTTATCTAGTATTGCGTATCAACGTATATAGTTACCATCTAACTTGTGGTGAGCAAAAAATTGCAATAGAATTTAAATAAATAATTCTTCTCTCAATTGGCGATTCTTTCAATTCATTTTCTTAATGACTCCAAATTTCTGGTTTGTGTAAGTGCGAAGAAAAAGGAACAAGGAAGCAAGAATGACAAAGACACCTTGATATGATCGAAATGGGACCATGTTTAGATATTTTACATTGGAAATTAATAAACGTAACTTCATTAATTAATATACTGTGAAATTGTATTAATTTACAATTTATAGATATTTGTTTAGATTAAAATTATTATAGAGTTATTGAAAAAACAATATTTAGATGCATTTAATTTCTTCTATGGAGACAACGTAGCAGGCAGCAACAAAATAATATCGACCGACACGATAATATTACTTTGTTTGTAAAGAAAAGAAATGAATAATTCAAATTGGAAAACTCAGTGCTAGATTTGTCGGTAATTCTCACTCCATTTCTCTCGTTGTAACTATTATCGAATTTAACGTTTCACTAATTGAATTTTCAACGACAATAATCGTTTGATAATTTTTTTCCACCTTAAACGATGGAAATTTTTATCCTTTTACAATTATTTATGTATTCGTAATCTGCGTCATGGTGTAAATAAACGCTAAAAAATATAGGTGTTGAAGTTCTTGAAATTACGAAAGAGGCTTCAAAGTTCATACCAATACAATCATTTATTTTCACTTTCCATAAAATGAAATTATATGTAACATCTCTTTTATTCAAAAAGAAAAAAAGATTATACATACACTTATTAATATTATAATAAAAAACCAAAAATTATATTCTTCTAAATTTCTAGAATTTCCATTAAAAGATTTAAGACAAGGGACTAATAACACCCGAGACCTCAACCTGCCACACCTTAATTTCTCCATCAAAACTTCCACTAAAAACCTTAACACCACCACCAGAATCACCACCTTCCACCGCCGCCAACGACCTGACCGGCTTCTGGTGCCCATCAAGCACAGCCAAACAAGTATACAAACCATCAATCCTCCGTTGCCAAATTCTCACCGTTTGATCAGCTGACCCACTGAACAGAAAATCATCAACACCGATCAAACACAATATGGCCCTTGAATGACCCCTCAACGCACCGGACACCACCATATAATTTGCACTGTCTTCCCTTTCCCATACAAGAATCGACCGGTCACATGCGCCGGAAAATAATATATTTCTGGCAGAATTCAATGCCAGTGCATTTACAGCAGATTTATGCTTTTCCAAAGTTGCTATTAAATGGATTTTCTTTTCTTTTTTCTCCTGCACCAGCGTAGTTCCCCATACTTTAATCCTTTTATCAGCTGATCCTGTGTAGATTATTCCATCATTTGATACTATAACTGCGTTTATAGAATCATCATGTGCTGTAATGGATTCTGCGCATCGAAAATCAGAGCCCCTCCAAATCTTTAAACTCTTATCCCATGAAATTGATGACACAGAATTTTTATACACAGCTAGGCCTGATACTGCATCATGGTGTTCAATCCAGAGTTTTTTCTTGTGTCGACGTACCTGTTGAAAGTCGTGCACGTGTTAGACATTTGATAAACGTCTTTACACGTTAAAAAAAAATACTTAAGCTTTCAAATGAGATAGTTTATGAGACAGTACCTTTACGTAGTTCTGAGGTAAAATGAATTTGCGGAAACGGTCTTCGAGTGTTGGGAGACTTGTAATGAGCTTGTGTTTTTTATGAATTGTTAATTTCCACACACGGATTTTGCAATCTTGATGAGCAGTGAAGATTTTTCCGTCGCAAAAAGCAACAGACTTGACGGCACCGGAGGAAATATTATCTCCACTGAAAGTATCGATCAGAGAATTATTAATTATCTCAAAAACATTGATTTCATTGCCGGAGGCAGCGTATAGTAAGTTGTCGTTGACAGCCATGAAATTGATGTGGACAGGGCGGCGGTGTTTGAGGGTAGTGAGAAAATGGGTGGAGATGGAGAGATTTAAGTTTTCCGGCGAGAATTTTTGGAGGGAAGGGACGGAGGGGAGAGTTAGGAGGGAGAGGTTGCTTTGGAGGCTGCTGGAAGAGGTATCTTGGGAGGATGTGGAGGATAGGGATTGGATGTCAGAAGAAGTGTCGGAATGGAGAGGTTTTGCTGATGGGGTGGTGGGGCCACCGCCGGAGGTGGCGATGCAGGTGGTGGAGGAGCATGTTGACAGCCATGATCGGACCTTCATTTTGAGAGAGAGAGAGATAGAGAGAGAGAGAAAAGCCCAAGGAGAGAGAGTTGATAAAGGGTTATATTTATTATATTGAAGAGGTAGTTGTAGATAGAGAGTTTGGAATATTTTATTTTATAATTTATCTTTTTGTATTTCTTTTTAATTTTTTTCAAGGGTATATAAAATAATTATCTACGTGAAATAACTTGGAAAATTAAAGATGAAGAGGCGAAAATGACTTATTAAATAGGGCGATCAATAGCTAAACGTCAAGGCTTAAGCGAAAGGAGGAAGAAAAAGTCAAAAGTGCCATGAAAACATTGATGCCTCACCCCGCAAGAATTCCTAGGTGCATTTCCTTGATGAACCCATGGGAACTGGGGAGGCCAATTTTCTCTCTATCTAGTCTCGATTTTTACACATCGTGAAATATCATTCATAATATACAAAAGTGATGTGCATGTAGCTTAATTCTTATCTCAATAGTGATTAACAATTTACGAAATGTGATGAGACATTTATATCATGAATTTTGCTACTTATACATAAAAATAAAATGTACATAAACGATTATTGAAAATGACGTGGAGAGAAAATATTGGATGAAAAAGTTGATCGTGTTTTAAATTAGCAAATAGTAAAGTGTTATATGGCATTATGTAATTCATTATGTAAATTTTGATATACATGTAGCAATATCTATTGAGATAAAGTTAAGGTTAAGAATTTTGGTAATTTAATAATAAGTTTTTATGAAAACAATACTATCATCATTTTATTGCTTATCGTGATGTCATATACTTGCGATTACCGAGAGCGAAGAAGTAATGTAATGATACGATTGATAAGTGTAAACGTGTCATATGAGTAATATTTATCTTCATTAGAGATGGTCACTCTGATGTAGTATTAAGTGATAAAACCAACAAAGTGAGTTTTATATCCATACTTTTTTTTTTGCTGACGTAGGAATCCACAGCCGCTACCCACCAGTGGAGCCCCGATCACTGTGAGTGCGCACTAGGTAAACTCCGCTCCATGTGTAGTAGCCCACAAACCACACATGAGAGGTAAACCGCACCAGGCAAGCTCGATACAACAGGCTCGACCGATGAAGTGTTGACAGGGAATTCGAACTCGTAGTATTTGGTCTCCGCGTTCACTTGCTTCACCAACTCGGCCACCACCGAAAGAGTTTTATATCCATACATTTAATTGGTCTTACCATTGCATATCACATTAAGTGCATCATAGGCGGTTGATCGTCTCTAATGGAGATTGTAGCATTATTCAGTTCGTATTGCTATTGATTGTATGTGTTTTCACGGGTTCTAAGTCTCATCAGTAACGACGTGAAACAAAGTGATGGAGATGCAAAGATGCCGAAATTGAAGTAGAAAAAATACCCAACGAAGCCCCATTGGCAAGCTTCCCAAAAAAGTGGGACGGGTCGCGTGGAGAAGCCATTTAAAGGCTGTGGACATTGCTTGGAGCTGGTGACCTCCCACATAAAGAGAATTCTAGGGTTTAGAAGAATTTCAACGAGGAAGAAGATTCAAGCTTGGTGCAAGTCTAATTTTCAAGATTCTTTGCTTTCATCTAAGAACTCGTTAATGTTTTCTATTGCTTCGTGTTTTCATTTATGGGCTAATTCCCTAATTTTGATTATTAAAGGGATTTTTTTCCCCCATTGATGATATGTATTCTTTTATTATTGAGATAATTGCAATTAATATCTGATCAAATTTTAATAGATTTATGAACAGTAACAAGTCGACGTCATGCTAGTTACAATTTAGTTAAACGATAGATGTATACTTCAAAAATTATTGTAGTTGTTAAATGAACTTCATGGTAAACTAGTTAATGTTTAATGTGAATTGCACGTTATTATAAAATGATTTATATGTATTGTAAAAATAATATTTGAATAGGCGTAAATGTTAATTAATTTAGAATTAATACCAATAGATATATACGTGACAATGAATATTAAATTATTTATTTAATTTTTAATTAATTAAGTAAAAATGGACGTGAATAATGAAATGCATTCTTGAATGTGAAATTCTATTTAATTTATAATGAGAATTAATAACACTGAAATTCATAGATGTAGATGAATATTAATCAAATGAATGTGAATGTTAATGTTAATTAATTGATAATTAATAATAAGGAATTCATGCATTAACAGAAGCATACATGTGAAATGAATATGTTAAATATACATGTACATTGATGTTAACTAATTGGTTAAATAAATTAAATACATATTGAAAAATAAAAAAGTATCGTATTATTGAAATAATTGAATTATAATAATGTTAAAATTATATTAAAAAAATGATTCTCACTGATATAATATTTACTTTCAATTAAGTAAAATTGGGTGTTAATTAGCATAAATGGACGTAAATAATGAAATGGATTCTTGAATGTGAAATTCAAATTAACTTATAATTAAAATTATTAATATTGAAATGCATAAATGAAGATAAATATTAATTAAATGAAATCGTGAATCATAACGCATTTTTTCATCTTTTTAAAATCGACCTTGTCAACTAATCATTTGATTATAGCTTAAATATTAGAATATATTTAGAACAAAAAATAATTATTCCCTATTACTTTTTCATTTTGGTTCAGATAAATTAATTAGATCGATAATAGATAATATGGTACTCATAGGAATGATAATTTGGACTTCTTAAATTCACTTTACTGCAAATAATAGTGACACTAACACCAAAAGACTAGAGTTTACAAAGCTCATATAAATAGGTGTCATAACAATTCTAGTACATATCAGATAAAATTAAAGAAAAAAATTACAATATTATTTTTTATTTTTTATGATAATGTATATTACTTCGTTCCAAATATATTTTTTATGAACTGATCCACCAATCAAATCGGTTAAAAAAATGCATTTCAGTAAGACTCAAAGCACCAAGTCAAAAAGAAAGGAGCAAACGTGGCTTTCAAGCTTGTCTCCCCGTCGCCTCAAGCCAAGAGATCGGAGGTCGCGGCAACTTGGTTGCTAATTAAGGTGCGAACTAGTTCTGTAAATGAACAAACATGTGAATTCTAACAACGGACATTCTCGGTCGGTTCATGTTCGCATGCCTCTTCGTATTCGATTAGTGGGTGGGGGTGACTTGGATGATTGAGAAATAATAATAGAAAAAAAAAAGTGATGACACGACGAGGAGAGTAATTTGTTTTCGTCTCCTTTTCTATCAGCAAGTTCCGACCCTTTTGTTTGAAATATCTTCATCGGTTAAAACTATGTTGTCTTAGATGGAAACTAGGACTTAATATATTGTGTATATACAATGGCATTACTTTCTTGACTTTAATATGAAAAGGCATGATTTTGTAAAATTGCTTGGCCGTCTGATGGACAGTTATGAGACATTTTGGTTGAGAGGATGAAAACAAAAAGAGGATTTTAAATGCATAATTAATTAGGAGTTTATCTACTTGTACATAATTCGGTATACATCAAGGTATTAACCCTCTCACATGAGAGTGTGACCCACTTGAATAAAAAATATTTTCTCCAAGTGGGCCCCACCCCCATATGAGGGGGTGGATACCTTAATGTATACAAAATTATGTACAAATAGCAAGTCTCATTAGTTTGACTCCAAACTAATGTCAACATCAAAGTTGTGAAAATGCATAGTTGGGCTACAATTTAATTATCAAGAATTTTTAGACATTTATTGTCTTAGTCAAAAGACCCAAAAAGATAAAATGGAGAATAATTTTTTTTTTTGATAAAGTTGTTTTAACGTTTTTGTTTTTTTCTGCCATTTATTCTTTAATTTGAATTTTTTTTACTTCACTTTTCATTTGAGATAAATCCCTTCTTTGTTTCTTATTGATAGCTACGTGTATTGAAAAGTATTAATTTTGCGTGATGGTCGCGTATTGAAATGTGTTAGCGTCATGTTGACGATAAATATATAATTATTACTAATAGGGGGATGGAATTGCCTTCGCTGCCACATACTGTATTGCTTCATCAATCAATCCATCACCTTCAAAGTCATGATCTTCAGATTAAACCTAAACCTAAAGTGTAAAGTGATCTCATATCTCTTGTTCATTATACCATCTCCTACTGCATACTACTCAAATTAAGTTAATATTGAATAAGATTTACAAGAAGTAGTAGATATCCAAATTAAGACAGCACACCAAGGGGAAATAACAATGTTCAAGAAACTACAAGAACAAAATATCACGCATAAAAAAAAAATAAAAATTAATACGTCGAAGAAGCAGCATATGGAAGCGAAGGCTAATTTATCTCAAAATAGGATCAAAACTTACTCTGATACCATGTTAAAAGGAAGTGAATACATCATTCAATTCCATGAAGGTGGCTACAAAGAGAAGAATATAAAGTGCGAAAACCCCAAACCATAAAACCCTAAACAAGGAAAAATGTAAACTAACAAATAAAGAAACCTAAATACAGTAATGCTCCCTCCATCCCATAAAGATAATTTTGCTTCTATTTTCACACAGATTAAGAAAATGTAATTAATATAGTTGTAAATATTAGTGTTATTTACTTTTTTTTTTAATATATCCCTACATTAAAAAATGGTTAAATAGGAGTAATTTATATTTTTTAGTAACAAGCACGTTAAATTGGAGTGTATTAGAAAATTAAGAAATCAATTACACTCTGAACAAGGAAAGTAACCTATAATGTGTGACAAGCGGGAAAAAAAAATCCTATCTTTAAGGAACGATGGGAGTATCTAACAATAAAATGAAGCAAAAGTTCAAATAAGAGAGTAGAAATCCACCGTAAAACATTGAATAGAAGGAATATATGTTAGAGCAAACCTGTTCTCCTGCCCACGGTGAACAAGATAAACTTTACAATGCCACGTTAGCGGGTCAAGTCACTTTTTTTTACAAATTAAAAAAAAAGGGTTTGACCTATCGATGTGACGTACAATACAACTCCTTCTCACTTTAGGTAGGAGTTCAATTCTATATGTTATAAACGTCGAAAACCAATTACAAGTTGGAAACAAGATTGACAACTCACCGTGTTACATTTCGACATATATAAGCAGAAGTGAAGGATTTCAAGAGCAAAACGGCACCTAAAACATATTGCGGACATTCAAAACGCATCCTCAAAATATAGAACTTGTAGGTAGAATTAATGTGTCAAACGGACACTTTTATTTGACTAATATTTCCCTTTTAAAAGATGTTTTTGAAACTTGTTACAGAGTAGCGTATAGACCCTGTATACCTCACTGAGATTCTACATACCCTCTACTCATGGCTTTCTAAAGAGTGGCCGTGTTGTAACTTGATTAATGAATAGTATGCCCCATGATCTCCAACAGAAAGTAGGTCATGATGTGATCCTTTCTCCACAACCTTTCCGTTCTTAATCACCATGATCCAATTTGCCTTCTGTATTGTTGATAAACGATGGGCTACAATTGCACAAGTCTTACCGACTATCATTTTCTCCAATGCCTCTTGGACAATGTTCTCAGACAAACTATCCAGTGCAGTGGTTGCTTCGTCCAAGAGCAGGATTGACGGATTCTTAAGAATTGCTCGAGCAAGTGCTACCCTCTGCTTTTGTCCTCCCGAAAGCTGGACTCCTCGCTCACCGCAGTAAGTTTGATATCCATCCTCCATTGAACTAGATTAGAGAGAGAGAGAGATTATGTACATTGTATGAAACTAGGATGTATTACATTAGACGTGTTTGGCAAGAATAATTGGATAGTACTGGACAGCATTGAAGAAGAATAAGAAGCTGCTAAATTCTTCTAGATAATAATGTCCAATACTATATACCAAACATATTCTATGAGTCATGGAGAGGGATGATACCACACCTTATAAATTCATGAGCATTGGCAAGCATTGCAGCTTCTCTGATTTCAGCTTCTGTGGCATCCTCTTTGCCATAAACTATATTTTCATTGTGGTTCCCGCAAAAATAGTCGGTTCCTGACTCACTAATGCAATATGCAATCTCAAGTCTTTCAAATTGTAGCTTTTGACATCACGATCGTATATCAGAACTGATCCTTTTATTGGATTATATAATCTCCAAAACAGTGGATTTGCGAGAACCACTCTGTCCTACAAAAGCCACAGTTTTTTCGGCTTCAATCTTGAGACTGAGATCCTGAAAGATCATCAGTTCGGGCCTCGAGGGATACGAAAAGAAAACATTCTTTAATTCTATCTTGTCTCTCAGTTTTTTTTCAATCTTAGAAGCTTCAGGGTTGTTAGACTCAATCTTACTTTTCCTGTCCAAAATTGCAAAAACAGATCTGATAGCACTGCTACCTTTCGACAAATCAGATGTCATGGTTCCTGGATCTGCAATGGTCTTACTGGTACTCATCAAAATGAAGAAAGCTAGAAATAGATTTTTCGAACTCAACAATCCCTTGCTCATTAGTGTCCCACCATACCAAAATGTCAAAGCTATAGAAGTCGTTGTTAAGAATTGGGAAGTAAACAAGCCTACTCCAGAAAACCATGATTGTTTATGCTCTGTTTCCAAGGGCCTTTCAGAGTTTCTCCAAAGAGGTCGTCTTTTTTGAGAAGAGAACGCAGTGATGGTCCTGTAATTGGCAACTGCTTCACTCGCCAGTTGGCTTCCATCATTTTGTGCTTTTTGGGCATATTCAGACATTCTTTTCATCAGAGCACCTTTTGAATAGAAGCTTGAAATAACTAAAGTTTGTATTGCAATCATTACAATTGCAACTTTCCATGCAACAATTAATCCAAGCACATAGGAAATAGCAGCATTTGTGAAAACCTGAACCAGTAATGATATGCGATCTCCAACAAGTGATCGAATTATATTGGCTTCAGTGGTGAGCCGTGTACAAACTGCAGCACTTGTATTAGCATCTAGATCAAACCACCCAACTTCAAATGTGAGAACATTCTGAAGAAATTCTTCCCGCACCTTCTTGGTCAATCGCTCTCCCATAATTGCAAAATTATAATGCTGCAGTAGATTGGCAAAGAAGCTGATAAAACCTAATCCTAAAAAGACGATGCTGTAAAATCTGGACTCAGATTTTAATTTTGAGGTGTCTTCTATAAAGTATATAGAAATTATAGCACCCATGCAGTAGGAATTAACTGGCTGGACGGCCCCAAATTCAACATCTCCTAGACATCCAAGCAAGGCTCTCTTCCATTCTGGTGCGTTCATTTGAAGTGCCTATTTGAAAGACTAGGAGAAGAAAGAAATCTTCAATTTTCCTAGATTGCTTTCAGGAGAATTGCTGGAGGTTGAAGCGGGACTGTTTTGAATCGATGTAACTCCACTCAAGATAAATGCTGGGCTGAAGCAGGACTGTTTTGCTTGCTTGAAGTTGCACTAAAAGGAGACTTGGAAGTATGGGCATACATTGTCTTGTCATAGTGTCTTCCCTCAATTGGATGATGGGGACTAACATGGGCATTATTCTCTACTGCTGATTGTATCACTTTCATCATACCATAGTAAACTCCACCTTCTCCATCATTTATTTGCATCAGCTCATCATGCGATCCTGATTCAACAATTCTCCCTGATTGAAGTACCAGAATCTTGTCAACCGTACGAAGTGTGCTGAGGCGATGGTTATAGTTGTTCTTCCTACAGAAGCCCGATCAATGGCTTCCTGTACCATACTTTCGGATTGTTCATCTAAAGCAGTAGTAGCTTCATCAAGCAAAAGAATTCTTGGATCTTTAAGCAATGCCCTTGCTATTGCTATTATTTGCTTTTGCCTTCTTGATAATTGAATGCCAAATTCTCCCACCTGAAATTTTACCTAATGTATGAAAACTCATTTTCTAAATAAATTATTAGACTTAGAACCATATAGAATAGCTTACTTGAGTATCATATCCTTCTGGTAATTTATCGACGAAGTCATGTGCATTGCGGCCTTCGCCGCACTTATAACCTGTTCCATTGAAGCATCTTCCTTTCCAAACAGTATATTTTCCTTTATGGACGTTGCAAAGAGAATTGGCTGTTGATTGACCAGCCCCATCTGAGATCTCAACCATTTCAGCTAGAGTTTTTTTATTCTGCGCCCATCAAGTAGTATATCTCCTTTGACAGGGTCATAAAACCTTTCAAGCAACGAAATAACAGTGGGTTTTCCAGATCCGCTTCCTCCCACAAGACCCACTTTCATGCCTGGTTTCACTAACATGTTGAATCCCTGGAGGATAACTGAATCCATTCTTGACGGATAACTGAAGTAAACTGCTCTAAACTCAATTTGACCTCTTACATTTTCTAAAACTTTCCCCTTGTCACTTTCAGAATCTATTTGAGGAATATGATCAATTAATTCAAAAATTCCTTTTGCAGCAGCTGATGCCTCTGTAATGGGTTAGAGATTAGGGAGTACACTCGTAAGGGACCTGAAATTACAAGAAGGGTATCTAAAGATAAGAACAAACCAGTAAAACTCTGCTTCTTTGCATTCATAAATCAAATTTGAATTTTAAGTTGTTAAATACGTACATATTAATTTGCTTATATTTAGTCTTCAACATACTTTAGTAATGTTAAAGGAAAGGAACTCGCATTCCTCCAAGGATAATACAGATTCTAGATATGAAAACATGGCCACCACTTTCTCCTTTTTCAGTGACAAGAATGCTCCCAACCCAAGATTGAAATGCCCATGTTACAAAAATCATACCCATGCTTCCTATCAACGACCCCTTCACTAATCCTTGCTTTATTCCCAGGTTCATACTTCTCTGAAGAGCATGGCTGAATCTTTTCAGTGTTTGATGTTCACCCACATATGAGTACATGGTTTGAATAGATGATATTGCATGTTCAGCAATACCGCCTACAACCCCGTAAGCCTCTTTACTCTTGATTCCTAGGTTCATCATTAGTTTCCCAAATCCCACCCCTGGCACTATAAATCCAACTGCAAATGGAAGAGAAGCCAATGCTAATTGCCATGAAAGTAGAAAGGAAACTAATAGGTTAAATATGAATGCACAAAGTTGCGTCAGGCAGGTGGGTATCTGCAGCAGGTAAAAGAAAAAAAGGGAAACATACAATTGATTTAACTATAGAAATAGATGAGGAAGAAGATAGGATAAAGAAAAAGGAAATTAAGAAATATTTTGCTGCGAAAAAGAAAGGAACCTTCTCGGCCATAACATCTTGAATTAAGTGGGCATCAGCAGAGATGTTTGAGACAACTTGAAGGGTGGAAGATGAAACATCTTGTTTGTCAAAGAAACTAACTTCTTGCCTGAGGATGGATTTTAAGTATTCCTTCTGTATGCAAGATGTTTGCCACTCGGCAGTTCTTGTCCAGCAAACTCCTTCTGCAAATGCAGCAGGCAATTGATAAATAACTAAAGTAATCCAACAATTTCGTGAACCTTTTTAATAAATCAAAATTTTCATGATCTTGTAATTGCTGATAATTTGATTCAGTTTAGGATTTTGTGACTTCAGACCCTGAACTAATCTATTTGAGCGCAAAGAAATGGTAGCTTTTTCTCCATAAAAAACAAAAAAGAATTGGTAACTGAACAAATCATGGCAGACAAGCAGAGAACTGTTCCCTATCCAAACAGCCATCAAGAAATTTCCTGTGAGTTGAGAGAGTTCCATACCGATAAAAGCAGAGAATCCAACTCCAACAGCAATATAGAGTAATCTGACTGCATACTGCCAAAGAATTTATTGAACATAAGTTTGAAAGAAGACGCATTTATTTAATTTATAACTAGAAAGTTTGAAGCATCCCTTCACTCGCAGGCTGGATTCATTTGATCATTATACCATTTTGAACCATCTAATCTAAAAGCCTAAAATGTTAGAGAGATGCATGTTTATTTGCTTATTTATTCAGTCCAGTATTCAAAATAATTATATTCATGATTTCTTGAATTACTTCCCTTAACTGGACACTTAATCTACTCTATGTTCAGACATCCAAGACTAAAAGAAATCTTATAGATGATCGCTATTCTCGATTCCAGAAAAGCACAATAACCAATTGGTCAAAATATCTGCACCTCATTCACCACCTCTTTGGCAATAGACTGATCAGCACTTCCAAATGCATCTAATGCTCCGCTAAGAACAAACATGGTAAGTGGAGCAGCCAACGAATCACCCAAGGAGCCTAAAATGCCAAGAAACATCAGTAACTTGTCAACACTGTCAGCATCCCTGAAAAGGCCACCTTTACTTCCCATTTTCAGTGATTTTCACAACCAAAAGATTCCATATAGCGAATGCTATATAGCACCAACATGGCCTAATTAAGATAATATTAATTAGTTAGCATTCCCAAGGAGTTCATTGGTGGAAGCTGCATTATGAAAATTTCGACTGTTCATGTCTTCTGCCTTTTGGACCGACTCAAAGCACATATTATTATAGGCGACATCCTTCTTGCGTATTTTGCTCCTGCTAGCTAGTGATTTCCATAGCTTTCAATCTGCCAAATTTCTAATATCTACTACTTTTGTCTCTAGAAGGGGAAATATGTAAACTCAAAACTTTTTTCAAAGTTTTTAATGTTAACTGTCTCTTTCATGAACAAGGCTAGACAGTCATGCTTATGCATGTTGCTTGGCCTAACTGTTTGGAAACATGTTACTAATCTGCATTAAGAATAGAAGTAGAATGTGTAAGAACCATTAAAAGAAAATGGAAAAACTGACGGGTGATAGTGATAACAATATGGAAAATTAATTGTATGTCAGTACTGAATGTAGGCTCTTGATGCATCACAATGTTGCAATAGTTAGAACAATATGGTCTTTTCACTCAGTCAGATAGAATCTTCAACCCCCTGATGATTGTATATTCACATAATTTTGTGTAGCAAAATAGTTGCAAAGTAATCATGTTATCTCCCAATTTAAAGAAAATAGGACGTAGTTGTTATTATACAAGGTTATATTTGATATAGTGCTGCCAATCCGTAGTTTAGATGTGGTATAAATAATAATCATTGATCTACCTATGTGTATAATTTACTTGGTAATTTGCACAAATGGCCTCCAATGATTGAACTTTTTTGTACTTTTAACCTCAATATTTGTTATAGAATATTTGACACCTTTTATTTATAGGTTCCATTTCATTTTTCTAAGAAACCGCTACGTTGGGATGAAACGACAAAATTACCTTCCAATTAGAATAAGCAAAAAAATATAAAAGAAAAAGAAGATACTGAAAATAAAAGGCAGCATTCTTCCTCACCCCACCCCAGCCTCCAGCGCCACCCTCTCCTTCATTCTATATCAAATGTGCATGTATTTGTAAAGTCTATGCAATAAAATCAATGCGTGTTCTTGGCATATAATCTCCTCTGTCTCTGTCTCTCTTCTTCTCATGTTGTTTCTTGGGAGTCTTATTCTAATTACTTTAGGGGTTGAATTCACGATTGCAGATTTAGTCTAAACAAGTGTGAAGGCTGTGATTTTATAGTTCAATAGCCACAAAATTAGATCTATAGTGTTTCTTTCTGGAACTTGATCATGACAGCTGAACTTTTGAATAAAGTCTAAGAGAGTATAATGAAATGCGCTTATAAACAAAAGGTTATTAAGTTTAATGCCAAGAATAGAAAGCTGAGTTTAAACGTGCTAAAAAGGTCTAATGTTAAAAACTTGTTCAATTTACCCTTTTAGTGTCCTCCAAACACTAAAAGACCACACTTCTAACATGAAATTCTAAATATTGGAATCGACTGAAATAAAGTTATAAGAAGAAACAGAGTCCAAATTAGAGAGTTTCAATTCTAAGGTTAGAGAATGTGTTGTGATTTCATCTCTCTCGACTAGTTCAGCCAACATTTGAAAGAAGATTGAGCACTCACATTTACAATTAGACCTGTGCAGTCAGAAACACAGGATTTCAAGGAAGACAAAAGTCTAATATTTAATTATCCAATGTTAAACATATTAAAGAAGCCTAAAACACATTACGTGCGTTCAGAACAAGCAAATTTGTATTTAATTATTACATTTTCTCAGAATAACTATTTCAGTTGTTTTGAGATTTGTTAGCATATTTTCTTAAATTCATTTTCATGGACAAACTCACTAGCATGTTGAACGCATAAGTGCACATTCGTCTACTGCATTCAAATTCGAATAATTAATTTTTTCAAAGTTAAATTCCATTTTTCGATTCTTGTAAAAGAGCAATCTATTGACCCCGTGTAATTCACCTAGAATCTCCATGTCCTGCTCGTATCTTGCTAAAGAGAGAGGCCATATTGTAACTTGATTAATGAATTGTAGGATCCATGATTCCCAACAGCAAGAAGTTCATGATGTGATCCTTTCTCCACAACCTTTCCGTTCTTTATCACCATGATGCAATCTACCATTTGTATTGTGGATAAACGATGCGCTACAATTACACAAGTCCTACCAACCATCATTCTTTCCAAAGCTTCTTGGACTATATTTTCAGCCAAACTATCCAGGGCACTGGTTGCTTCATCCAATAGAAGGACTGATGGATTCTTCAGAATTGCCCGAGCAAGTGCTACTCTCTGCTTTTGTCCTCCTGAAAGCTGAACTCCTCTCTCTCCGCAGTAAGTTTGATATCCATCCTTCATGGAACTGCATCAGGGAGACAAAGAGAGATCATTTTATTTTGAAATGTCAAACAATCTCATATGCAGACCTGATTTTTTTTTCCTGTAATTTTTGTAAATAGTGTGTCAACAAGACTTGAAATCAGGACCTCGGCCAGCTCTAATACAATATAAAAATGATTAACCAACTCATCTAAAAGCTCAATTTGTTAGATAAGGCATAAATTTATTTATTTAAAGTCACGTCTTCAACATTTCAGTTTCAAGAAAGTAGGATGTTTATACACTTAAGACATAAAGCAGAGAGATGATACATACCTTATAAATTCATGAGCATTTGCAAGCATTGCAGCTTCTTTGATTTCAGCTTCTGTGGCATCCTTTTTGCCATAAACTATATTTTCATGGATGGTTCCAGCAAAAAGAGTTGGTTCCTGACTCACTAGTGCAATATGTGATCTCAAGTCTCTTAAGTTATAGCTTTTGACATCGTGATCATCTATTAGAACTGATCCTTTCATTGGATCATAAAATCTTTCGATCAACCCAAAGACGGTGGATTTGCCTGAACCACTCTGTCCTACAAGTGCCACCGTTTTTCCAGCTTCAATCGTGAGATTAAGACCTTGGAAGATCATTTGTTCAGGCCTTGATGGATAGGCAAAGAAAACATTCTTTAATTCTATCCTCCCTGTTAGCATTTTTTTAATCTTGGAACCTTCAGGGTTGTTAGGCTCAATCTCGCTATTCCTGTCCAGAATTGCTAAAGTAGATTTGATGGCATTGCTACCTTTTGACAAATCAGATGTCATGGTTCCTGCATCTGCAATGGTCTTACCGGTACTCATCAAAATGAAGAAAACCAGAAATAGATCCTTTGAGCTTAATGATCTACCATTCATTAGAGTCCCACCGTACCAAAATATCAAAGCTATAGAACAAGTTGTTAGGAGTTGGGAAGTGAACAAGCCTACTCCAGATAACCATGATTGTTTTATGCTCTGTTTTTGCTGCCCTTTCAGTGTTGCTGCAAAGAGGTCGAGAATTCTTTTTTGAGAAGAGAATGCAGTAATGGTCCTGTGATTGACTACTGCTTCACTTGCCAGTTGGCTTCCTTCACTTTGTGCTTTTTGGGCATTTTCAGACATTCTTTTCATCAGAGCACCTTTTGAATAGAAGCTTGTAATAGTTAAAGGTTGTATTGCAATCATTACAATTGCAACTTTCCACGCGACAATTAATGCAAGAGCAAAGGCAAGAGCAGCATTTGTGAAAACTTGAACCAGTAACGACATGCGATCTCCAACAAGTGATCGAACTATATTTGCTTCAGTGGACAACCGCGCACAGACTGCCGCACTTTTATTCTCATCTAGATCAAACCACCCAACTTCAAATGTGAGAACTTTTTGAAGAAGTTCTTCTCGCACCCTCTTAGTTAATCTCTCTCCCATGATTGCGAAATTGTAATGCTGGAGTAGATTGGCGAAGAAGCTTATCAAGCCTATAACTAAAAAGACAATGCAGTAAAATCTGGTCTCAGATTTTAGTTTCGAGTTGTCGCCTATAAAGTACACAGAGATCATTGTACCCATGCAATAGGAATAAATTGGCTGGATGGTCCCAAAGACAACAGCGCCTAAACATCCAAGCAAGGCTCTCTTCCACTCTGGTTTATTCATTTGGATTAAGCGCCAGTTTGAAAGATTTGGAGAAGTACTCTCCAATTTTTCAATATTGCCGTCAGAACAAAAGCTGAAGGTGGAAGCGGGACTGTTTTGAATTGATGCAACCTCACTCATGGTTAATGTTGGGCTAAAGGCAGTAGCAGGACTGTTTTGTCTGCTTGACCTTACAATGAAAGGAGAATTAGGAGTATGGGCATACGTTGTCTTATTATAGGGTCTTTCTCCAATTGAATGTTGGGAACTTTCAAGGACCTGATTCTGTACTGCTGATTGCTGGACTTTCATCATTTCAAAATAAACTCCACCTTCTCCTACTCCATTATTTTTTTGCATCAGCTCATCATGAGACCCTGATTCAACAACTCTTCCAGATTGAAGTACAAGAATCTTGTTAACTTCACGAATTGTGCTGAGACGATGAGCAATAATAATCGTTGTTCTTCCTACTGAAACCTGATCAATGGCTGCCTGTACTATGCTTTCAGATTGTGCATCTAAAGCACTAGTAGCTTCATCAAGCAAAAGAATTCGTGGATCTTTAAGCAATGCCCTTGATATTGCTATCCTTTGCTTTTGCCCTCCTGATAATTGAATGCCAAATTCTCCCACCTGAGATTTTACTGAAACATATAAAAACTCCTTTTGAAAATGAATTATCAGACTTAGAAGCATTAAGGATGGCTTACTTGAGTATCATATCCTTCTGGTAATTTGTTGATGAAATCGTGTGCATTTGCAGCCTTCGCCGCACTTATAACCTGTTCCATTGAAGCATCTTCCTTTCCAAACAGTATATTTTCCTTTATGGACGTTGCAAAGAGTATTGGCTGTTGATTGACTAGCCCCATCTGAGATCTCAACCATTTCAGCTGGAATTTTTTAATTCTGTGCCCATCAAGTAGTATATCTCCTTTGACAGGGTCATAAAACCTTTCAAGCAACGAAACAACAGTGGATTTTCCAGATCCGCTTCCTCCCACAAGGCCCACTGTCATACCTGGTTTTACTTGCATGTTGAACCCCTGGAGGATAAGTGAATCCTTTCTTGATGGATAACTGAAATGAACTTCTCTAAACTCAATTTGTCCTCTTACATTTGCTAAAACTTTCCCGTTGGCATTTTCAGAATCTATTTGAGGGATACGGTCAATCAACTCAAAAATTCCTTTCGCAGCAGCTGATGCCTCTGTGATGGATGGGAGATTAGGCAGTGCACTCATGAGGGACCTGAAATTACAAGAAGTGTATATAAACACAGGCATAAACCAGAATAGCATAGCTTCTCAGTATTCGCTTCTCACAGTATTCAGTACTACAAATGCATATACACATAATTATTGCAGAGTAGCACACAAACTTGGTTATGATGTGGAGGAAATTATGAAGATCGGTGCTAAAGAGGGGACACGTTAATTTATCTATATCTATTCTTTAACATATTGTAGTAAAATAATCAAGGAAAGGGACTCACCATCCTCCAAGGATGACACAGAGTCCTGATATGAAAACATGGCCACCCCTTTCTCCTTTTTCAATGACAAGAATGCTTCCAAACCAAGATTGAAATGCCCAAGTTACAAAAACCATTCCCATGCTTCCTATCAACAAGCCCTTTACCAATCCTTGCTTCATGCCTAGATTCATACTTCCCTGAAGAGCATGGCTGAATCGCACGAGTGTTTGATGCTCACCTACATACGAGTAGACAGTTCGAATAGATGATATTGCCTGTTCTGCAATACTGCCTGCTAACCCATAAGCATCCTTACTCTTGATTCCTAGGTTCATCATTAATTTTCCAAATACCACCCCCGGGACTATAAATCCAATTGCAAATGGAAGAGAAGCCAATGCTAGTCGCCATGAAAGTAGGAAGGAAACTAATAGGTTAAATATGAATGCACAGAATTGAGTCAGGAAGGTGGGTATCTGCAACAGGTAAAAAAGAAAATGGGGAAAATTCTTGATTTAACCATAGAAATAGATCAGAAAGCAGATTTGATGAGGAAAAAGAAAAGAAAAAAACCTTCTCGGCTATAACATCTTGAATTAAGTGGGCATCAGCAGAGATGCTTGAGACAACTTGGAAGGTGGTAGATGAACCATCTCGATTGTCAAAGAAACCAACTTCTTGTCTGAGGACTGATTTTAAGTATTCCATTCGTATGCGAGATGTTTGCTTCTCGGCAGTTCTTGTCCAGCAAACGCCTTCTGCAAATGCAGCAGGCAATGAAGAAATAATTTATCAAACAAATTCGTGAACCTTTTTTTAATAAACTAAAATTTTCAAGATCATTTGTACATTCTCATACTTCTTTAGGAAGCAGATACTGGAAACTTAAAAGATGTCGGACCCCACCAGAAAATGTCTATTTTTCTCCAACAATAACTAAAATGAATTTTATAGCTCAACAAATCATAAAAGATAAGCCAAGAATTATTCTATAACCAACATCCATCCAGAAATTTTCTGTGAGAGTTGAGAGAGCATCCATACCGATGAAAGCAGAGAATCCAATTCCAACAGCAATATAAAGTAGCTTGAATACATACTGCACAGAAACATTAAAAAAAAAGCTATTTCAGTTTGTAACAAAAAGATTGTTGAACTATCTCATCTAAAAGTTTAAATTGTTAGAAAGAAGACACATTTATTAATTTACTACTAAAATTTAGTTTTTGGCACATCCCTTCTCTTGCAGGCCAGATTTATCTTATCATTATACCATATTAAATCACATCATCTAAAAGTTTAAACTAATAGAGTGGAGACACGTTTATTTTAATTTAGTCTTCGAACGAACTCTATGCACCATACATTTTAACGAGAATTTCTGGAATTACTTCCCTTAACTGAACACTTGTTTTCTGTTCAATCATCCAAGATACAAAGAAATCTTACAATTAATTACTACTACAAAATCCGAAAAAGAACCGAAAGGTAAATATTTGTACCTTGTTCACCACCTCTTTGGTAATAGACTGATCAGCATTTCCAAATGCATCTAATGCTCCACTTAGAACAAACATGGTCATTGGAGCAGCCAACGAATCACCCAGGGAGCCCAAAATACCAAGAAACATCAGCAATTTGTCAACACTGTCAGCACATCTGAAAAGCCCACCTTTACTTCCCATTTTCAGTAATTAGCACAACAAAGATCCCAAGTAGTGAATGTTTTATAGCCCCAATATGGTTTAATTAAGATAATATTAATTAATTAATTAATTAACATTCCCAAGGAGTTTATAAGTGGAAGCTGCAGTATGAGTTGTTCTACCGTTCACTTACTATTTCCTTATGGACTGACTCATATGGAGCGCATATTATTCTAGCCGGCATCCTTCTTGTATACTTTGTTCCTGTCAGTTACAGATTTCCACAGCTTTCAGCCTGTCCTGATTCAAATACCAACTAAAACTAGTGTCTTTTAGTGGGGGAATCTTGAAACTCAATGCTTTTCATCTTAACTCTTTCTTGTATGTACAATGCTAGACACTGGCCTAACTGTTTGGACATAAGTTACTAGGATCTGAATTGAGAACAGAAGTAGAAAGTGTCGAGAAAAAAAAAAAAAAAGGGCACCCCACAGGTGACAGCGATATGCCAAACAGCAAACAATGTGGAAAATTATTTGTATGTCTGTATTGATTACAGGCATTTTATGTCCACAATTAATGTTGCATTATTTAAAATAACGTGATCGTTTCCCTAGATCAGAAATGAATCTTCAACCCCCTGATAATGGTAGTTTTACATAATTTTGGGTAGCGAAATGGTTGTTATGGTTTTGATTGTTTTTTTTTATAGATACAGTATTCATGGAGTTATCTCCCAATTTATTGAAAATCAGATGTAATTGTTTTTATTCAATATTATATTTTGATATAATTATGCCTCATCCAAAAAAATATTTTGATATAATTATGCCAATCCAAAATTTAGATGCGGTTGAAATGTTATAATGATGATCCCACCAATGAACAAAAGTAGGGCTGTCCGTGGGTCGAGAACCGAACCGACCCAAAACTTTCGGGTATTTAATAAATGGACCCGTCGAATCCAAATATAATTATGGAACCGTTCAGATTCGGTTTCGTTCGGTTCGATTCCATACTATAATTAAATTTTTTAACATTTACAACAATACTACATAAATACAACTAATGACATTTCATTCGTAACTTTTATAAATTAACGTTCAATTTAAAAATATATAAATAACTACGTATCCAATAAAATTAATTTAATGCATAAAAATACAAAAAAGTAGATGTTAATATTAAAATATCGGTGATCCATATCAAAAACTGCAAATGGATCTCAAACTCCACTGTTTCTTGTCTTTAAAATGGGCTTTAAAATGATTTGGATTTTAAAATGATTTGGGTATTGGGGTTTAAAATTAAAATTATGAAATAATTTGATTTATTTAATTAATTTGCTAATTTATTTAGAAAAAATAATTTAATTTAATTAATTTAATATAAAAAATAAAAAAAATTATTTAGTCTAGGGTCTTATTCGATTCTTCGATTCTTGGTCTAGAACCGAGACCCGACCCAAACCCATCGTTTCTTGATTCGGGTACCCATTCGGGTATTTAACTTATGAAGAACTGCTTGGTTCAGTTCGGTCTGGTTCGGTTCGGAACTTTTGGACACGCCTAAACAAAAGGCATTAAGAATTGAACTTTTTGAGTTTTAGACCTCATTTTTTTTTTTTGAATAATTAAAGCATTTAGTTCGTCTAAGAAATGAAATTATCATCGAACTAAAATAAGTAAAAAATATAAAAATATGAACACAACAATCAGTCTTGTTCCTCGTCCCACCCCAGCCTCCAGGCCACTCTTGCCACCCTTTCCTGTATTCCAAATCTAGCTTCTTGTGTATTTTTCACCTTTTCTCTTGATCAGCTTTGACATGTTTTGAAAATGTAACTCTATGAAAATTTAATATGCACTCTTGGCATTTGATCTGCTCTCTCTCTCTCTCTCCTAGTTTGGTTCTTTGGAGTTTTATTCAAATTTCTTTAGTGAGCCAATTTCATATTTGTAGATTTAGGCTAAGAGTGTGTACATTACCATGTAAATGAATGAATGTAAGGGATGGCATTACATGTTCAGCATCATATGACCTCAATATATGAGGGACTGGTGGTTAAGGGCCCGTAACACCACGGACCTGTGACTCGGGGTACGGGGAACAGAGGGTCGGAGCTGGGAGTGGAATTGCAGGCACCGGAAAGAAGGCTGCTTTTGTTTTCTGTTTTTGTTTTATAGTTACATTTAAGTTTTTTGGGTTATTAAGTTGAGACTAAATTGCTTTTTAAATTAAGTCAAGTGTTTTCCCAGAAGGAAACTGTGAGTAATCCACATAATATAACAAAAGGTTTAGTGAGTTTAAAGCCAAATGCAAGAATTAAATGGTGAGGTTGGATGTGCAGAAGAAGATCAAGTCAAATGTTGGAAACTGTGCAATTTAAATGTTGAACATTAGCATTTTATTTACCGTATGGAAACACGTCTTACTAGAAATATGGCTAAACTTAAAGATATGAACCTCCCTAAGCCAGTTATATCCAGCAGAGCTGGGATATATATCTTCACACTTTACAGACAAGTTTACAACAGATACATATAAGACTTAAAAATATCAAAACGTAACTTCAGCGAACGTATTTCCATGACACGACAATACATTACAGAAAACGCGACTTCTCTAAATAATTAAGCACATGTCTTGTCTATAAAGGAAATGCAGCTATAAAAAAACACTACTCTTTAACCTACGAGAACTCAAATCAATCATCCCACATATCAAAGAGACGTGTTTTCGTTTCCACTGAAAACTCAAAATTCATTTGGTAATCTTGCTATTCACCATCAAGTATATTATAGATTGAATTGTAAGTTTTAGACCCCATGGAGGCCAATATTGGCACGTAAAAGATTCGATTAAGTTCTGCAGTTTCCAAAATGGGATCTGACAATCTGAATCAGATAACTTTCTACCATAATCAAACTTGATTATTTTGTCAAACACTGTGTTCATAAGTGTTCAGCTACCATAATCTACCTCTTAACATAGAGGGAAAATGTAAAACAAATTTGACAAGAGCAGTTACCGTTTATGACGAAGTTGATATTCAATAAGAAATGAGAAGCAGCAGATGTCCAAATTAAAGAGGGCACTTCTAAGATGAAATGCTAAGGAAAGTCAGACTCGACTGAAACAAAGTTAAAAGAAGCAGAGTCCAAATTAGAGGGTCTTAATTCGAAGGGAAGAAAATGTGGTGCGTTGTTCGTTTCTCTCAACCAGTTCAGGTACAAATCCAGAGTGAAACCTAAATTGAAGAATCAAATGTTTCAAACGTCCAAAACTAGTTACCAGCATTTGAAACAAGATTGAGCACTTACCATGGTTCATTTAGACGCAAGAAGGCAGAAGTCTAACGCATATTACGCACAGCTTAAACACATTAAAGACTCCCAAGTGCCAAAATGATAGTCCATTTTAACTGATATTTTCATTCTTAACCCTTTAAATTTAAGAAAATGTTCCTGTTCTAACATTTTTAATAGTATTGCAGAAATATCTATTGCAGTTGTTTTGAGATTTATTAGCATATTTGCTTAAGTTCTTTTTCATGAACAAACTCACTAGCATGTAAAACACACAAGTGCACTGCATTTCAAATTCTGATAAATAAAGATTTCAAGAGTAAAATCTATTTTTGAAATTTTGACTCCATATAACTCACCTAGATTCTGCATGTTATATTCATAACTAACGAGAGTGACTATGTTGTAACTTGACTAACGAATAGTAGGATCCATGATCTCCAATAGCAAGTAGTTCATGATGTGATCCTTTCTCCACAACCTTTCCATCCTTAATCACCATGATGAAATCTGCCTTCTGTATTGTAGATAAACGATGAGCTACAATTACACAAGTCCTACCAACCATCATCCTTTCCAATGCTTCTTGGACTATATTTTCAGCTAAACTATCCAGGGCACTGGTTGCTTCATCCAAGAGAAGTATTGATGGATTCTTCAGAATTGCCCGAGCAAGTGCTACTCTCTGCTTTTGTCCTCCTGAAAGCTGGACTCCTCTCTCTCCGCAGTAAGTTTGATATCCATCCCTCAATGAACTGAATCAGAGAGACAGGGAGAGATCATTATCCTATAAATGTTGAACCACCTTACCTAAAAGCCTAAGCTCATAGATGAGGGCATATTTATTTATTTAAATTTTTCCTTCAACATGGCCCTCACGTGCATACAGAATTTATTTATATATTTAAGGCAAAAAAGTTCATAAATCAGTGACCAAGAGACTTGAAAATCGGTACTACAACCTCTCTAATACCATAAGAATATGTTTAACCACCTCTTCTAAAAGCTTGGCTCATAGATAGGGGACACATTTATTAATTTAAATTTAGTAGTCAACATTTTCATTGCAAGAAAATAAGATGTTTCACTCTAGGTGTCAAGCATAGGGATGATACCATACCTTATAAATTCATGAGCATTTGCAAGTGTCGCAGCTTCTCTGATTTCAACTTCAGTGGCATCCTCTTTCCCATAAACTATATTTTCATTGATGGTTCCTGCAAAAAGAGTCGGTTCTTGACTCACAAGTGCAATGTGTGATCTCAAGTCTCTCAGGTTGTAGCTTTTGACATCATAATCGTCTATTAGAACTGATCCTTGTATTGGATCATAGAATCTTTCAATTAATCCCAAAACAGTGGATTTTCCTGAACCACTCTGTCCTACAAGCGCCACCATTTTTCCAGCTTCAATCTTGAGACTGAGACCTTGGAATATCATTTGTTCGGGCCTTGATGGATAGCAAAAGAAAACACTCTTTAATTCTATCCTGCCACTCAGCGTTTTTTTAATCTTGGAACCTTCAGGGTTGTCAGGCTCAATCTTGCTTTTCCTGTCCAGAATTGCAAAAATAGATCTGATGGCGCTGCTGCCTTTTGACAAATCAGATGTCATGGTTCCTGCATCCGCAATGCTCTTACCAGTGCTCATCAAAATGAAGAAAACCAGAAATAGATTCTTCGATCTCTCTAATCCCTTGGGTTCATCAGAGTCCCACCATACCAAAATGTCAAAGCTATAGAAGCTGCAGTTAGAAATTGGGAACTAAACAAGCCTACTCCAGAAATCCATGATTGTTTTATGCTCTCTTTTCGTGGGCCTTTCAGCGTTGCTGCAAAGAGGTCAAGAATTCTTTTCTGAGAAGAGAACGCAGTGATGGTCCTGTGATTGACCACTGCATCACTTGCCAGTTGGCTTCCTTCATTTTGAGCTTTTTGGGCATTTTTGGACATTCTTTTCATCAGAACACCTTTGGAGTAGAAGCTTGCAATAGTTAAAGGTTGTATTGCAATCATTACAATTGCAACTTTCCATGCAACAATTAATCCAAGCACGAAGGCAATAGAAGCAGTTGTGAAGACCTGAACGAGTAATGAAATACGATCTCCAACAAGTGATCGAAATATAGTGGCTTCAGTGGACAGCCGTGCACAAACTGCAGCACTTGTATTCTCATCTAGATCAAACCACCCAACCTCGAATGTGAGCACTTTCTGAAGAAAATTTTCCCGTATCCTCTTGGTTAATCGCTCTCCCATGATTGCAAAATTATAATGCTGCAGTAGATTGGAAATGAAGCTGATAAAACCTACACTTAGGAAGATGAAGCAGTAAAATCTGATCTCAGATTTTAGTTTTGAGCTGTCCTTCAAAAAATATACTGAGATCACTGTGCCCATTGAATAGGCATATACTGGCTGGACTGCCCCAGAGACAACAGCCCCAAGACATCCAAGCAAGGCACTCTTCCACTCTGGTGCATTCATATGAAGTAAGCGCCAATTTGAAAGACTTGGAGAAGAACTGTCCGATTTTTCAACATTGCTGTCATGAGAATCTCTGGAGGTGGATATGGGACTGTTTTGTATTGATGTAACTCCACTCAAGATTAATTCTGGGATAAAGGCAGAAGCAGGACTGTTTTGCCTGCTTGACCTTACACTGAAAGGAGACTTAGGAGTATGGGCCTTCCTATGGTATCTTCCCTCAATGGGATGATAGGGACTATCAGGGGCCTTATACTGTACTACTGATTGCTGGACTTTCATCATTTCAATAAAAACTCCACCTTCTCCATCACTTTTCTGCATCAGCTCATCATGAGATCCTGATTCAACAACTCTCCCAGATTGAAGTACCAGAATATTATCAACATTTCGAATGGTGCTGAGGCGATGAGCAATTATAATTGTGGTTCTTCCTATTGAAGCTTGATCAATGGCTGCCTGTACTATGCGTTCAGATTGTGTATCTAAAGCACTAGTAGCTTCGTCAAGCAAAAGAATTCGTGGATCTTTAAGCAATGCCCTTGCTATTGCTATCCTTTGCTTTTGCCCTCCTGATAATTGAATGCCAAATTCTCCCACCTGAGATTTTACTAAAACGTGTATAAATTCAAGTAAAAATAGCAAGGAAAAAATTATCAGATATAGAAGCATGAAGAATAGCTTACTTGAGTATCATATCCTTCTGGTAATTTGTCGATGAAGTCGTGTGCATTTGAAGCCTTAGCCGTACTAATAACCTGTTCCATTGAAGCATCTTCCTTCCCAAAAAGTATATTTTCCTTTATGGATGTTGCAAAGAGAATTGGCTGTTGATTTACCAACCCCATCTGAGATCTCAACCAATTCAGCTGGAGCTTTTTAATCCTGTGCCCATCAAGTAGTATATCTCCTTTTATGGGGTCATAAAACCTTTCAAGCAAAGAAACAATAGTGGATTTACCAGAACCACTTCCTCCCACAAGGCCAACTGTCTTACCAGCTTTTAATTTAAGGTTGAATCCCTGGAGGATAAGTGTGTCCTTTCGTGATGGATAACTGAAATAAACATCTCTAAACTCAATTTGTCCTCGTACATCTGCTAAAACTTTCCCCGTGGCATTTTCAGAGTCTATTTGAGGGATATGGTCAATCAACTCAAAAATTCCTTTCATAACAGCTGATGCCTCTGTGATGGACCGGATATTAGGGAGTGCACTCATAAGGCACCTGAAATTACAAGAAGGGTACTAAAGACAGTCATGGACCAGTATAGCTTGGCTTCTCAGCATTCGTTTCTAGAGAAAATATAATTTGGCACATATTTTCAGAATCGCGCACACAACTTGATGTTATTGTGTCGACAAACTTGTTAAGATTGGTCATTTATATCCATCTAATAGTCAATAAGTTACAAATTTTAAGTTTTTCGGGTTTTCCTTTTAACAGTTTTAGCAATGATTTTCCTTCGTAAATAAGTTTTGTCTTGATTTAATCTAATACCTGTACAGCAGTAACATAATCAAGGAAAAGGACTCACATTCCTCCAATGATGATACAGACGCCAGATACGAAAACACGGCCAGCACTTTCTCCTTTCTCAGTGACAAGAATGCTCCCTATCCAAGATTGAAATGCCCAAGTTACAAATATTATTCCCATGCTTCCTATCAATAACCCCTTCACTATTCCTTGCTTTATGCCAATCTTCGTACTTTCCCGTAGAGCTTGGCTGAATCTATCAAGTGTTTTATCCTCACCCACATACGAGTAGACAGTTCGAATAGATGATATTGCCTGTTCAGCAACACCACCTGCAACCCCATAAGCCTCCTTACTCTTGATTCCTAGGTTCATCATTAGTTTCCCAAATCCCACCCCTGGAACTATAAATCCAATTGCAAACGGAAGAGAAACCAATGCAAGTCGCCATGAAAGTAGAAAGGCAACTACTAGGTTGAAAATGAATGCAAAGAATTGAGTCAAGCATGTGGGTATCTGCAGCAGGTTAAAAAAAAAAAGCTCAACTACAGAAGTAGATGAGAAAGCAGACTGGATGAATAAACAGAAAATTGAAAGAGATTTTGCAAATAAAAAGAATCGAACCTTCTCAGCTATAACATCTTGAATTAGGTGGGCATCAGCAGAGATGCTTGAGACAACTTGAAAGGAGGTAGATGAAACATCTTGGTTATCAAAGAAACCAACTTCTTGTCTGAGGACTGATTTTAAGTATTCCATCCGTATGCGAGATGTTTGCTTCTCAGCAGTTCTTGTCCAACAAACTCCTTCTGCAAATGCAGCAGGCAATCAATAGTAATCAAACAGAATCTTGATCCCTTTTCAAGAATTCAAGTTATTCAATATCGACTGTAGAATTTCATAATTCTTTTTGAAGTTCTTAGAATTTCCTCTTAGTTGATTTAGTTTAGGACTGAAATATAAATCACCTTATCAACAGATTAGCACGTATATAATTCCAATATATTTCAAGAAGTTGCAGTTTTGACAACTAATACGAGTTTCCAGTTCAAACCCTGAATCAATCTATTTGCAAGTAGAGCAATTCCCTCTTTGTCAAAAACTAAAAAAGGAATTAATAGCTCAATAAATCACGATAGGCTAGCTGAGAATCATTCTCAATCCAAACAGCCATCAAGAAAAATCCAGGGAGTTGGAGAGTTTTCATACCGAGGAAAGCAGCGAATCCAACTCCAACAGCCACATAGAGTAGCTTGAGCGCATACTGCACAAACAAACATTTTTCTATAAAGAAAGTTACTTCATTCATAACAAATGCTAAATATTAAGGTTTAATCTCTTCTTAAGAGAGCAGCAATAAACGACATGAAACTTGAACAACAATAAAAGCAAACACACAGATTGATAATGGTTTGCCCCGTAACATGAGAGCTAGCGAATGCTGCTAACAGAGAATAAGAGTCCAAGGTTTTTATATCCCCTATCATCCATCCAAAACCAGCCCCTTGAACCCTTTATATAGTAGGAATATTAGCTCAATCTGCACAGTGAATTCTACGTATGATTCTATTCCAAATTCCAGCAGAAAACTGCAGGAACCAAAAGGCAATTAAAATATATGTACCATGTTGACCACCTCCTTGGCAATAGACTGATCAGCAGTTCCAAATGAGTTTAATGCTCCACTTAGAACATACATAGTCAGTGGAGTAGCCAAAGAATCTCCCAAACAGCCCAAAAAACCCATAAACATCAGCAACTTATCGACACTGTCAGCATGCCTGAAAAGGCTCCCCATTTTCAGTGATTTGCATAACAAAAATCCCATATACATATATATACACACACACACTAGTTGGCATAAAACTCCAATTTCCTTTTGCATTAAACCATGTTTGGCTAAGCGAAAAAGTAAGTTACACTTATTTTTAGTTAATTTTATTTTGTGACATGTCTAAATAAGTTATTTCTTCCTACTTTGAAATAAAAATGTTTTCAAAATAATTTATTTTAAATCTATTAATTATGAGTAAACTAATAGATACGTAAACTTTTTAAGCTTAGCCAAATATGCAGTAATATCATTTTTAAGCAAGTGTTAATGGCTTGATAACTTAACTTTTTCTCCCTTTCAAACAAAAAAATGTTCCATTTTAATACTCAAGTTTACTTTTTACTTAAAACTTACTTAAAATGAACTTTTTAAGCTTTTTCAAACCAAACATGCTTTATATTAATGTTCGGTTTGTAAATAATGACTTATCATTCCCAAGAAGTTGATTGGTGGAAGCTGCATTATGAGTTCTTCTACTGCTCAATTCTTCTTTTATATGGACTGACTCGAAATATGTATTATACAAATTAAGCTGGCATCTTTTCCTGGGGCAGTTCGCTAATTGCAATTGGTGGTTTCCATAGCTTTCAATTTCGTCCTGCTTGGCACAATAGGGTCTTTATTTGTCCTCTTCATACATTTAGAATCATAAAAGGACAAAGAATCGTTTTCGGTTACTGGGGAAAATTGAAAACATTATTACTTTTAAAAATTTTATGTTAACTGTTTCGTTTAAGTACAAGGCTGAACATTCATGTTTAACCATATTGTATGGTGTATCTGCTTGGAGACGTTTTTAAGATTAGACTTTAGAATAGAAGTTGAAAGTGTCAAAATTATTGAAATTATGGAATGCTTACAAAACCCACTAACCATATAAAGGATCTTTTTACAAACACAACATATAACACATGTTGTGTTACCCCTCCGCCAATATGACCTGTCAACTAAGCAACATGCCACGCAAATATCTGTTCTCCAGTGCGATGAGCTATCTACAATCGCCTCGATTGCCTTCAATTCCGAGGTATTGAGAGCACAGGCTAACTCCTCACTGATAACAACATTCAAGACGACATTGTTAGAACTTTATTAAAACTTAAACTTTATGATCTTGCCAAGATCTTCATGTCAAACCATCAAGAAACTGAATTAACGCGGAACATACCTTAATCAATTGATTTCTAACTTGATTAATGAATCTTGAATCTGAATCTGTAAATCTTCAATTTGGTTGCTTCAAATCTCCATCTTAATTCCTGATTGTGGGTTTTATGGATCTTCCTCTTCATATGCTTTCTCTTGTATTCTTGTGTTGATGGGATGCCACAAAGAATGAGAAAATCACACATGAATTGGGGACCATAACCCTTTATATATTTCCATATGTATTCGGCCCATCGTCAAATACAAACCCTAATGGATCCGGTCTCTACACATATAGTCCGGCCCACACTTTAATTAGATGCTTAAAGCCCAATTACTTAATTCCTTATTAGATCACTTTAATTTTGGGCTTAACTTTAAGATAGCGTTTATACACAATTAATTACATATGTCGGCCCATCACGGGAAATTAAATAATTTCCCAACAATCTCCCACTTGGGCCACATATGCTACCTTATAAATGTGTATAACCTTATGAGCTCAAAACTTTTGCTATCATAACCAAAAGCATCTCCGAACAATCTCGTCCATTGATTATATCAACATAGGATCAAAGCGGTCTTCGTTATAAGTAACATAACTAAACCCATCAATGGTCACGTATATCAATACAATCAAATGACATAGATCAAGTGTGGATGTGTAGCATGGAAATTACATGTAATGTGATCTAAACATGCCTATTTCCAACTGGTCCTGCCTTATTCCTTAATACCTTATGAGATCAACCATAAACTTTAATCAGAGTGGAACTGAACTGAATACTTTATTTCTGAAATGAACTGAATGTGCACAACCGAAATTATGTGTCAAAAGACAACATCCAAAATACAAACTCCCACTAAACTGGCATATCATCAAAAGATGCAACACCCATGTGAGCACCATGCTCATGAAAGACCTCGGGTGGTAGCCATTTAGTAAATGGATCCATATTTATAGAGTTTGTCCTTATATGCTTTATAGAAACCTGACCACTCTGAATTCATTCCTTAACAATTAGGAACTCAATGTCTATAAACTTTGACATCATCATGTTCCTATTGGAATACAAGACTGTTATTGTCACAAAATAACTTAAGTGGTCTTTCATTTCTATCCAAAATATGCAGCCTAGTGACAATATTTTACAGTCAAATTCCATAATCAAAATCAGAATATCCAACGATCTCCAATTGGTCTGATTTTCCTGAATGTGATCATGTAATCCTTTGTTCTCTATAGATACCGAATAACCTGATGGCTGCTTTCCAAATTTCCATCGCAAGTTAATTAAATATCTGCCTAGCATTCCAACAAAGAATACTATATCCGGATGTGTGCTATCCCGAGTATACATTAAATTCTCAATTGCCAAAGCATAGAGAATCTGATGTATATCCTTTATCTTTAAATTTATCATTGGGGCATTAATTGAGACTAAAGTTGTCTCCCTTAATTGTTGTAGGGGTATTACTTGATTTTCATATCTGCATTACAAATCTTTTAAGAACCTTATTGATACAACTCTTTTGTGATTACCCAAAAATACACCAAGAACAATTCTTGTGTATCTATATCCTTAATACAAAAGGTGCATCACAAAGATTTGCTTACTCCCACTGAACTTGTGATATCCACAATCATCAATTGAATGTATCTCGAAACCAAATGAGATAATTATTTGATAAAATTGTGATACCTATTCGGGAAACCAGCTTAAGCCCATAGATGGATTTCTTTAATTTGTAAACCATCTAATGCAACTTAAGACCAAAATATGTCACAGAAGCCATAATTGTCCTAAAAGAGTTTTCATAGAAACCGAAGAAAAATCTCTTTATGCATGGCATCAATCCACTCTTTAGAATTATTCCTTTGCATGGCTTGATGAAAGTTGATTGATAAGTCATTCTTTCGTCAATCCATGTCATCCTTATTTTCTTGGAGAAAGACTATAAAGTTATCCAGAATTGTCTTTCTTCTTTTATAGTGGATTTCCTTAATGACATTTGTTCTTGAGGTTGTTGAGTTTGTTTTTCTGGAACAATCTCTTGATTGTGTATGGGGGATTTTGTAATATTGTCTTGATCCGAAATTGCTTCTTGAACAAGATCTGGAGCAAGAATTTGTCCCTGAACCAAATCATTGTCAATTGCAACAGAAGGAATATATAAATATTCTTCATCTAAGACAAAATCATAACCTTATAACCTTATCTCCCCTCACAAACTCTACATCCTCAAGAAATCGAACATTTCCCGTTTCGAAAATTGACCTGGTAGTGGGACCTTTAAAAATTTGTAACCCCTTAACAATTACTTTACTTGGAACTTTGTTGAGACTTTAAGCTGCAGTCTTTAGTGCTTTAAACCTAGGAGGATCCTGATGTACTGTGGGTAAATTCCACATTCCTCTAGGAATATTGCAAAAGGTCCTGGACATTGTTCTCCTGATTCGTCATATCTTGGCATAGTATTTACCACTATGGTAAGATTTGACTTGTTAAATTCTTTTACTGAGTCGATTTTCGAACTCAGTCTTGTATGCTTTGAACATGTCCAGTGTTTGGGATTTCTCATAGATGAAATATAGGTAGCCATATTGAGAAAAAATCGTCTATGAACTAAATAAATGACTGTTGACCATTCCAAGAAGCCGAAGGGAATGATCCACAGATATCCGTATAAATTAGTTCTAAGACATCCGAAGTCCTATTGGCACCTAATCTCCTTATGTTTGTTTGTTTTCCCTTAATATAATTTACTTAAGTCTGAAAGTATCAAGGGAATCAAGAATTCTTTCTGACACAAATCTTTCCATTCTCTTTTGAGAGATGTGACCTTATCGCTTGTGCCATAACAAAGCAGAATTCTCATTGGTTAATTTATGTTCAATACCACGTGAATCCATATACAAGGTTTCTTTATAAGAGGCAACCGTATTAAACACATATAGGTTATCGTAACCGAATAAAGAACTGACACCCACAATATTTGAATTAAGAAAAAGATCAAACTGACTATTTCTAATTGAACAAGAGTAACCAAAGTTGTCCAATGTAGAAATAGAAACCAAATTCCATCCAAAAGGACGGTACCGTAAATGTCTCTTTCAAATTCAAATAATAATCAGTCTTTAATGATAACCTAAATTCCGTAAAGCCTCAACCTTAACTGATTTGCCATCGCCCCGGATAGATGAATCTTTCAGCATCAATTGGCTTTGGCAGCTCAGACAACCCCGCATAAACACACTTATGTAAGTGGTGGTACCGAAATTTATCCACCAAGTGTGTCTTGGTATTGACATTAAATTTACCTCAAAACAAACCAATAGTGAGAAATGTACTTTTCTTTACACGCCAAGCGTAGCATTTAGCACAATCTCTCTTTATATATCCCAGATTTTCACAAAATTTACAACTAAATTTATTTCGCTGTTAATTTTGAACCGAACCGAATGCAGCTTTCTTATTCTTTCTTTTCTTTAACTTGTCCTTAGAGGTACTAGCCAAGTGAGCACTTTCAGTCCTTTCTTGCTTCAGCCTTTCTTCTTCTTGCACACAGTATGAAATGAGCTCATTTAGAGTCCATTTATCCCTTTGACAGTTATAACTGACCTTGAATTGTGCAGGAATAGAAATTAAAACCAGATGCATGAGCAAATCATCAGATAGCTCAAGCTTTAGAGCCTTTAAGTTTGAAGCAATATGAGACATCTCCATAATGTACTCCCGAATATTTCCTTTGCTTTTATGCCTTAGTGAAACTAAGTATGCCAAAAGCGTACTAGTTTCAGCCTTATCGCTCTTTGCAAAGCGTTTCTTCAATTTCAGCAAGAAATTTATTGGCAGTAGTTACCTTATCGGACACAGCGCCCCTGAATGATTCTGGAATTTGACGCTTCATGATCATAAGACTCATGCGGTTTGAACAATCCCACTTATTAAAGTCCTTGTTTTCATCAATAGAACTTTTATCCGTAAGTGCAGCGGGTTGTTCGGTCCTTAACGCAAGGTCTAAGTTCATGCAGCCAAGAACGATCATAACGTTCTCTTTCCAGTCCTTAATAGTTGGTTCCATTTAGCACAGGAATGGAGTTGATGTTGGCAGATATTGTGGAAGTTGATGGATTAACTGAATAGAGAACTAATACTTAATCTACATGTTCACATAAGAATCCATATTAAACAATTAATCAATTCAAATAATGGTAAACCCCATCACAAGAGACCGAGCACAACATTGATATTTAGTCTTTGGACAGAAATATCAACTTGTAAGTGGTACTCTTGGTGTAGTAATCAAATATTGACAATAAACCATGTCAAACAATAAACCTATCTTTGGACCGATTTATTGTTCACATAAAATAAAACCTTATAATTGTCACATATTTATTACCACAGGTATGTAAATAATTCGGCCAAATATTAACCTTCCTTTGGGCCGGTCAATACCCGCATGAATTACGTACACACAACCTTTCTAATATTCCAAATAAATTAATCTAGGCAAGAGAGGTCACTTTGGTGACATGTTGCTTCAATCAATTCATTTAGAAAAATTAGTAATCCAAAAGAAATACCAAAATTTGAATTATAATTGTTAATCCTTAATTCTTTTATTTTATTTTGAAACTTTAGGGGCCTAGGGTTAATAATACAGAACTTTAGGGACCCAGAAATAATAATCCAGAACTTTAGGGCTCAATAATTAATTATGGAAAACTTTAGGAGTCAAAAATTAATTATTCAAACTTTAAGGATCCAAAAATTAATTGTTGAAAAACTTTAGGAGTCAATAATTAATTATTGAAAACTTTTAGGGATCCAAAAATAATTATCCGAAACTTTAGGAGTCAATAATTAATTATTGAAAACTTTAGGGATCCAAAAATTAATTATTTAAAACTTTTGGGGCCAATTTGGAACAAAATCAGAAACTTTGATGCTTTAATTACAAAATCAGAACTTTAAATGGCCCAAAAATAATTAATTTTAAAACTCCAGTGGCTGAATTATCAAAACCCATAACCTTAATGCCCAACTTGAATGAACTTTAAACTTTAGGGGCTAAATAACCAAAATTGCAAACTGTAGGGGCCTAAACATTAAAATTAAAACTTTAATGGTCCAAAAATAATTAATTTTGAAACTTAAGGGACTGAATTATTAAACCCGTAACTTTAAAGGCCCAATTGGATGAATTTATAACCTTAGGGGACTGAAATACCAAAACCTTAAACTTAAGGGGCTAAATCCTTAAAATGAAACCCTAATTTGAAATTGCAGTCAAGGACCTCAAAACTTCAAATTTACAACCCAAGCCCCCGCCCCCAAAATTCATCCAAAACCCTAATTTCAAAATTTAACAACCCGGGGGCGGGCTCGCCGGCGCCGCCCCCCCAAAATCCGGAGCAGCGCTCTCCGGCGCTGCTCCACAGCAGCGCCGCTGCTGAAAATCTGCAGCGGCGTTAACTGCTGCTGCAGTTCCAGCAGCTCGCCGCTGCTGCAGTTACAGCAGCGCGAGCTGCTGTAATAACAGCAGCCACGCTGCTGTTGTTACAGCAGCCTGCGCTGCTGTAACACAGCGGCGGTGCCGCTGCTGCCGGCGGCGGCGGCCTCCAAAAAAAAATTTTTTTTTTTTTTTTAAACCGAAATTCTGAAAATCTTTAAAATTAACCGAATAATTTTCAAATTTAATAAATCTAAATCCGAAATTATTAAATTTGAAAACCATAAAAATATACAAGAACCAAATTAAAAATACTTGATTCCCAATGATTTAACATGAATAGGCTCTGATACCACTTGTTAGAACTTTATTAAAACTTAAACTTTATGATCTTGCCAAGATCTTCATGTCAAACCATCAAGAAACTGAATTAACGCGGAACATACCTTAATCAATTGATTTCTGACTTGATTAATGAATCTTGAATCTGGATCTGTAAATCTTCAGTTTGGTTGCTTCAAATCTCCATCTTAATTCCTGATTGTGGGTTTTATGGATCTTCCTCTTCATATGCTTTCTCTTGTATTCTTGTGTTGATGGGATGCCACAAAGAATGAGAAAAATCACACATGAATTGGGGACCATAACCCTTTATATATTTCCATATGTATTCGGCCCATCGTCAAATACAAACCCTAATGGATCCGGTCTCTACACATATAGTCCGGCCCACACTTTAATTAGATGCTTAAAGCCCAATTACTTAATTCTTTATTAGATCACTTTAATTTTGGGCTTAACTTTAAGATAGCATTTATACACAGTTAATTACATATGTCGGCCCATCACGGGAAATTAAATAATTTCCCAACAGACATAACTTCTGCAAAGTTGTCACTTCTCCTCTCTGAAGCGATCAGCAAAGTCCTAAATCTTATCCACATTGGATAGGCCTTCGGAGTTCGAAGCGGTTACGCTTCAAAGCCTGACATTTGTTGTAGTTTTAGTCTAAGACAGTTAGGGTCCGAAGCCTAACGTCTTATTAAAGCAAAAGAATAGCACAAGCTTTAGATCAATGTGGTAGCTAAAAATCATACAATTTATTTCATCAAAATAAAATAATTCTATAAAATACTTGTCGTCATTACAAAATAATCCATAAAAACAATTAATCTTTTGTCTTTCCTAACACACGTCTGTAGTAGAATAAATCTTCAATTGTAGATTTCGGGCTCAGATTAAACTTACCAACCAATATCAATCAATTAATCCAAAAACTTCAACCCACAACAATATTCACTTATGGTGACTCTTTTCTACCCGTGACAGGTGGCACAAAATGAGGAGTTAAATATTCTTTACAGACCTTAATTTTTGAAGCTGCTGATAAGCTATACTTCCATCTTGTATTCCTTTTTAGATGGGAAAAATATAGTAATAAGGGTATATAGCTTTCCTTTTATCACTAAGATTAAACTTGTATAAGTCATTCTGTGCAATAGTACGAGCTCAAACATCCTTCCCTAATAGTGTTGTAGTTAGATAGCTACAGCCCCATGGATCTGCCCTTGTTATCTATTTTTGTTGCCTTGCAGCTTGTTAAATCTACTTTGAAACTTGTTAAAAGTAATGTATTGATCCCGTATAAGTCACCTAGATTTTACATATCCTACTTGTGGCTCACTAAAGAGGCCGGCGTGTTGTAACTTGATTAGTGAGTAGTATGCTCCATGATCTCTAACAGCAAGTAGTTCATGATGTGATCCTTCTTCCACAGTCTTTCCGTTCTTGATCACCATGATGGAATCTGCCTTCTGTATTGTCGATAAACGATGAGCTACAATTACACAAGTCCTGCCTACCATCAATTTCTCCAACGCTTCTTGGACTAGATTCTCAAAGAAACCATCCAGAGCACTGGTTGCTTCATCCAGGAGAAGGATTGATGGATTCTTCAGAATTACCCGAGCAAGTGCAATCCGCTGCTTTTGTCCCCCTGAAAGCTGGACTCCTCTCACACCGCAGTGAGTTCGATATCCGTCCTTCATTGAACTGCATCAGAAGTACGATGTTTCACTTCATGGTAGGTAAGGAAGATTAGATAGTATTGGACAGTATTGAAAGAAATAGAAGCTAAAATCAAGTTTATTAGATTATACAGTTCTATCGAGTACAGAGGATTAGACGTGCACTAGGTGTTAAGGAGCGGGATGATGATACTACACCTTATAAATTCATGAGCATTTGCGAGAATTGCAGCTTCTTTGATTTCAGCTTCTGTGGCATCCGCTTTTCCGTAAACTATATTTTCATGGATGGTTTGTGCAAAAAGAGTCGGTTCTTGACTCACAAGTGCAATATGTGATCTCAAGTCTCGTAAGTTGTAGCTTTTGACATCGTGGTTGTCTATAAGAACTGATCCTTTTATTGGATCATAGAATCTCTCAATCAAGCTGAAAATAGTGGATTTGCCTGAACCACTCTGTCCTACAAGAGCCACTGTTTTTCCAGCTGCAATCTTGAGACTAAGATCTTGTAAGATCATCTGTTCAGGCCTGGAGGGATATGAAAAGAAAACATTCTTTAATTCTATCTTGCCTCTCAGCAGTTTTTCAATCTTGTAACCTTCAGGGTTCTTAGGCTCAATCTTGCTTTTCCTGTCGAGAACTGCAAAAGTAGATTTGATGGCGTTGCTACCTTTTGACAAATCTGATGTCATGGTTCCTGCATCTGCTACGTTCTTGAAGAAAACCAGAAATAGATCCTTTGCTCTTAATAATCCTTTGTTCATTAGAGTCCCACCGTACCAAAATGTCAAAGCTACGGAAGCTGTTTTTAGGACTTGGGAGGTAAACAAGCCTACTCCAGAAAACCATGATTGTTTTATGCTTTGTTTATGAGGGCCTTTCAGTGTTGCTGCAAAGATATCGAGAATTCGTTTCTGAGAAGAAAATGCGGTGATCGTCCTGTGATTGACCACTGCTTCACTTGCTAGTTGGCTTCCTTCATTTTGCGCTTTTTTGGCATGTTCCGAGATTTTTTTCATCATGACACTTTTCAAGTAGAAGCTGGCAATAATAAAAGGTTGTATTGCCATTGTTACACTTGCAACTTTCCATGCCACGATTAGCCCAAGCAAAAAGGCAAGAGCAACAGTTGTAAAGGCCTGAACCACTAATGACATGCGATCTCCAACAAGAGATCGAACTATATTGGCTTCAGTTGAAAATATTGCACAAACAGCAGCACCTGTATTCTCATCTTGATCAAACCACCCAACCTCAAAAGTAAGAACATTCTCGAGAAATTTTTCTTGTACCTTCTTAGTTAATCATTCTCCCATGATTGCAAAATTGTAATGCTGGAGTACACTGGCAAAGAAGCTGATAGGGCCTATACATAAATAGATGATGCAGTACAATCTGGTCTGGGATTTTATTTTTGAGCTGTCGTCTAAGAAGTATAACGAGACCATTGCACCCATGAAATAGGCATGAATTGGCTGGATTGCACCAAAGACAATAGCACCTAGACAACCAAGCAAGGCTCTCTTCCACTCTGGTGCATTCATTTGAAATAACCTCCAAGGACTCGGAGACGGAGAACTCTCCAATTTATCATCATTCTTTAGATAATAATCACTAAAGGTGGACAAGGGACTGTTCTGAATTGGTGGAACCTTGGAGTGAATGGTAAGAACTGCCCTGTTTTGCCTGCTTAAACTGAAAGGGGACATGGGACTGTGGGCATATGTTGTCTTCATACAGTATCTTCCCTCAATCGGGTGACGTAGACTATCGGGAGGCTTATTATTTATTGCCGATTGTTGCACTTTCACCATTTCAGAGTAAACTCCACCTTCCCCATTATTTATTTGCATCAGCTCATCATGAGACCCTGATTCAATGACTCTCCCGGACTGAAGTACAACAATCTTGTCGACATTACGGATAGTGGTAAGGCGATGAGCTATGACAATTGTTGTTTTTCCTAGAGAAGCCTGGTCAATGGCTGCCTGTACTATGCTTTCAGAGTGTGCATCCAATGCACTAGTAGCTTCATCAAGCAAAAGGATTCTCGGATCTTTAAGCAATGCCCTTGCTATTGATATCCTTTGCTTTTTCCCTCCTGATAACGAACGCCAGACTCTCCCACCTGAGATTTTACTAAAATGATTATAAACTTGAGGGAAATAACAAGAAAGATACTGTCAAACGTAGAAGCGTGATAAATGGCGTACTTGAGTATCATATCCTTCTGGTAAATTTTTGATGAAGGCATGTGCATTTGCAGCCTTAGCAGCACTTATAACCAGTTCCATTTTAGCATCTTCCTTCCCAAACAGTATATTTTCCTTTATGGATGTTGCAAATAAAATTGGCTGTTGATTTACCGGCCCAATTTGGCATCTTAACCATTTCAGCTGGAGTTTTTTTATTTTGTGCCCATCAAGTAGTATATCTCCAAAGACGGGGTCATAAAACCTTTCGAGCAATGAAACAATAGTTGATTTTCCCGAACCACTTTCTCCCACAAGACCAACCGTCTTACCAGCTTGTACGAGAAGATTGAGACCCTGGAGGATAACCATATCTTTTCTTGATGGATAACTAAAATGAACTTCTCTAAACACAATTTGCCCTCTTACATTTGCTAAAACTTTCCCCTTGGCATTTTCTGAGTCTATTTTTGGGATAGAGCCAATCGTCTCAAAAATTCTTTCTGCAGCAGTTGATGCCCCTGTGATAAATGGGAGATTAGGGGGTGCACTCATACAGGACCTGCAATTTACAAGAAAGGTGAAATGTGTCGGAACATCTTCAGTTTTGCATGTTTTCTTGCTCAGGTTTAGCAATGTACTTTTACTCATCTCTGATAGTTGTATTTAGTTTTAAACATCTCCACCATTAACATAATAAAAGGAAAGGAACACACATTCCTGCAAGGATAATACAGATTGCTGATACAGAAACATGGCCACCGCTTTCTCCTCTTTCAGTGACAAGACTGCTCCCATACCAAGATTGAAATGCCCATGTTGCAAAAATTGTTGCCATGCTTCCTATCATCAACCCCTTCACTAGTCCTTGCTTTATCCCAAGGTTCATACTTTCATGAAGAGAATGGCTAAATCTATCGAGTGTTTGATGCTCACCAACATACGAATAGACAGTTCGGATAGATGATATTGCCTGTTCTGCAATACCACCTGAAACCACATAAGCATCATTACTCTTGATTCCTAGGTCCATCATATATTTTCCAAACCCCACCCCAGGGGCTATAAACCCTATTGCAAATGGAAGAGACGCCAATGCTAATTGCCATGAAAGTAGGATGGCAACTATTAGGTTAAACAAGAATGCACAGAGCTGAGCCATACAGGTAGGTATCTACATCAGGTAAAAGAAAATAACTCTAAAGAGGGGGAAAATAGCCTTTTGCTTTAACTACAAGAGGAAGAAAACCAGTTTATCGACAAAAATGATAATCGAAAAATATTAAAGAACCTTTTCAGCTATAGCATCTTGAATCGAGTGGGCGTCAGCAGAAATGTTTAAGACAACTTGAAAGGTGGTTGATGAAGCATCTTGGTTGTCAAAGAAACTAACTTCTTGTCTAAGGACCGATTTTAAGTATTTTGTCCGTATACGAGATGTTTGCCTCTTAGCAGTTCTTGTCCAGCAAACTCCTTCTGCAAATGCAGAAAGCAATCATTAAAAATAAAGAAAATGATCTACAATCTACAGGATTTTGAACTTTTCGATGAATTCCAATTTTTCGTGATTGTTGGTGATCAAGTGAAGTTGTTATCGATTGATCTTGTTTACGACTAAAATATATATGTCATGTAAAGAACAAGTTAACGGGTTCACAATTACGGTAGTACTTGGAGAAGTTGCAGTTTTATATAACTAATACAATCTCAGACCTTGAATTGTTGAATGCAAAGCACTCGTCTCTTTTTACTCCAATAGAAACTGAATGCAATTTAATAGCTCAACAAAAAATGATAAAGCAGCTAAGAATTATTCGCTCTACAAACAGCCATCCACAAATTTCTTGAGAGAGTTGCCATACCTAGAAAAGCAGCAAATCCAGCTCCAAGAGCAACATACAGAAGCTGGAGTGCATACTGGACAAAAACACAAGTAGAAATGAAATCAAAGTGAGGTTTCAACAAGAATTCCATGGTAATTGTTGAATTAGTTCGTCATGTACAGGTTGGATTCATTTTTCAAGGTCTGACACATAGACAATTGTAATAAATGGGTGACTGCGAGACTTGAACCTAAGACTTTTAACTACTCTAATACCTTGTTAAACTACTCAAGAGCAAACACGTTTTTCAACTTATATTTTGTCTTCAACATACCTTGTTCACCGCCCCTATGGCAATAGACTGATCAGCACTTCCGAATGCGTCTAAGGCTGAACTCATAATAGACATGGCCAATGGATCTGACAATGAATCCCCCAAGCATCCCAAAATACCAATAAACATCAGCAACTTGTCTACACCATCAGCATACCTGAAAAGGCCTTCCATTTTTGTCTACAACGGCCAATATAACATACTAAACTCGCCAATGAAACGTGGCTATATAGCTGGCACCTTAATCTGTTTGGTGCTTTTGCTGTTAATGGTTTTTATAGCTATTTTCGTTCCTGCATCACAACTTAGTCTTGCAGATAATATGAAAGGTATATTTATTGAGAACTGCCACCCTTTTTGTGGGAAAGACCTTGAAAACTCAAACTACTTTCAAGGTTGTCAATGTTAAACCGTCTACTATACTCACTTGGCCTAAAGACAAAAATGTTGAAACAAAACATGGAATATTTTACAACTTGAGGCTCTGAATAGATAACAATGTTTCAATGTTTAAACTTCATTTGCATACAAGTATTTAAACAGTAAATGGTTGTCCAGCCGTCAAGCATCTTGGATTTTTAGTGGATAAAGGGGTAGATCAATTTAAATAGCAAAACATGTCGACTTAAAAAATATACTTACTGGTTTCAAACTCTTGTTAGATTGTGAATTCTGACATGTATGTTCGTGTGGAAGTGAGCATGTGCCACTTCTTCTTAGTACTTGTTACTGGGTTAACAAGTCACACTTTAGCCTAGAGGTGTCAAGACGGACGGGCCGATCATGACCCGTGAAAACCGGCCCGTGAAAATCGGGACCGCGGGCCGACCCGTGACCCGTGCGGGCGGTTCACGGACCAAGGAGGTGTAATCCGCGGGCTTCGCGGGTTGCACCCCCACGGGCCACGGTTAACCCGCGGCCCGTAAAAAAAAATT